GAACCTTGCTCCAGCAGGAGCCCAGGCTATGGGTTCTGAACAATGTTGCACAGCGAGCTGCCTCACACCTCTGCCTGCTATGTGCAGCCTTGTTGCTGCTGCATCTGGTGACATGGCAGCTCCTATAGCGCTGAGACACGCCTGAGTTTGTTTGCTTAGGTGCAAGGCTGTGATAACAGCTCTCCTGCGTCCAGGACTCCAGCCTAGGCACCAGTTTGCTTCCAGTTTGTTCTACACTGTGTTGTGCAGATGCATCCTGGAAGCCAGGAGAGCTGCCATTCCACTGGGCGGGATGTGCCTGTGTTTTCTATCTGTCTATGAGCCCCTGTCTGTCCCTATGCTTGTGCAGGCAGGCAGAGCTTGCTCTTCTCCAGTCCCTGCCCTGCTTCATTGCTGCCTGGATGCTGGGAAGCAGCTATGCTGCTGCAGTGTCTGCCTGTGTCTTTCTGTGCCGTGCCCAGCAGAGGGAGCTGGGTCTTCGCTTTTGCTTGTGATAGTGAGTACGAGGCTTGGCAGGGAATTCTGCAACGGGCAGTTGCTTGGCCCTCACTCCCTCTGCAGGCACGGTCTGTACAGCCCAGCCCTGGAACTGGATTCCTTACCATTCAGCACTGAGCGGCTGCCCCGTGCTTAGGGCAACCAAAGTGAGGCATTCCTGTTCTTCCAGACATGCAGGGCTCTGACATCTCCGTCGCCTAGATTTGTATCTCAGATCTTGTGTCAGCAGAGTGGCAAACCTGTTCTGAGTTCTTCCAGTCTTAAGTGTCCTAAAAGCAGCTGACTGTTATTATTCTCAGAGTGAGCACCATCGTCCCAAGAGCAATCCTGCAGTTCTTGGCAGTTTCACTGATACCCAAAAGGTTTTGAAGAGCAGACAGAAAACCAGTGCTGGGGAGTGCCCAAGGCAGCTGCAGGCAGGGACAGGAGCTGACTTGTTGTGGGCTGCAGCAGGCCCTGCAGTGTGCCAGTTCTCTTGGCAGGACTTCCTGCGGCAAGATTCACTCTGCTCCCTGCATGTTCACAGAGTGAGAAAAGAAAGGGCTGCGCCCAGCCTGGCACTTTGTGCCGAGCTGCCTTCCATACCTGCGGTGGCAGACGTGGTATTGGTGGAAGTTGCTGATACAGCCAGACTGGCAGCATCTTCTCAACAGGTGTCCTGGGGGATGCCAGGGAGCAGAGGTGATCCTACAGGCCAAGACAGCACCGTCCCCAAGGCTGTGTGCATGTGTGCATACACTATTTACGTGTCTGCTCTTCTCCCTCTTTTTCTGCTGCTTGCCCAGGGACCCTGCAGCTCTCGCCCGTGGGACCTGCCAGGCCTGCGTCTATCGAACGCGTTCAAGGTATCGCGGCACTTGCCTGCTCCAGGCTGTCCTGGAGCTCGTTGTGCAGTGTGTGAGAGCAGCTGTCACCACACTGTGCTCACGGCCGGGGACTGGAATCACTCCGTGTAGCCTGGCAGGGTTAGGAGGAGGCAGGATTTCCTCTGGGGGCAGGAGAGGAGAGCAAGATAATGCTGTGCAGAGAGTCGCCAGTGGAAACGAGTGCCTCTTTGGAGAGGGTCTTCAATTAGGATCCAGCCCACTTAGGCACTTCTCTGACAGGAGCTTTCCTGGTCTTGCTTTGCACCTGGTCTCACATTGGCCCATGCTCTTAGGATTGCCAAGGGGCACCTGCACTCTGAGCACCTGGTGTTGTAAGAAGCCTGAGACAGAACCAGAGGGGGAAAGAGAGTGATGTAATGAGCATCCAGGGAAGGGGCTTCTGTGCTCTCTGGCCTTATCCTAGGAACTGCTCCCTCAGCAATCAGCACAGCCTACTTGCCTGTGTTGGGAAGCAGAGAGGCAGTGCACGTCCCAGCCCTGAGGGGGCTGGGGGACGGTCTCAGCGCAGCAGTGGTTGTGCAGGTCCTCACAAGTTCTTGTATGTCTCCCTGGCAGTGCCCATGCCAGACCCGAGGGCCCCTATGCAGCGTGGACCTCTACCTGCTAGTGGCCCGCCGCCCCGAGGCCTTTTGGGAGATGCCCCGAATGACCCTCGTGGAGGGACCCTGCTCTCAGTCACTGGAGATGTGGAGCCCAGGTGAGGGGAGAGGGAAGGAGAGGAGCCCCTTGCACTGTTCCCTGCCCAGGGGTGACCTCACTAAGGACAGGGATGGCACGAGCCTTCCGGGAGTCACTGCTGCCTGGTTGGAGGCCTGTGTGCTGCCAGCCATGGGGACCAGTCCCCTTCCCCAGGGATGGGGCATCCCCAGGGTGCTATCAGCAGCCCTGTGACATGGGACTGACAGCATCCATCCCTGTGCAAGCCTTGCCAGCGGCCGGCTTTGGGGGCAATCCCAACGCTCTGCCCAGACCGTGCCAAGCCAGTGTCTGATTTACTCTCTTGCTTTTTCTCCTCCTCCTGCTTTGCTCTCCTCGTCTCTCTGCATCAGAGGTTACCTTGGGCCACCCCACCAAGGAGCCCCTATGCATCATATGCCTGGCCACGATAGCCGTGGCCCCCCCCCATGAGATGAGGGGTGGACCCATGGGAGAACCCCGACCACTGATGGGAGAGCCGCGGGGGCCCTTGATGGATGCTCGAGGTGAGAGAGGGGGCATGAAATAACGGGTGGCTTAAAGCATGCAGAGGGGCAGAGTGGAGCTCACTGACTCAACTCAAGACTTAAAAGGGGGGTTGGGCAGAGAAATGAACCTAAGGCATGAGGAACAGTCCCACAGAGTGAGGGGCTTCTTCCAGGCATGTCTCCTTTTCCCCAGCCCTACATCTTGGCATTTGTCAGCTTCCCAGCAGAGAAGGCAGTGGGCTCAATCCCATAAGTCCATGGCACTGCTCCCTTCTACAGCTTGCCTTGTCGTTCCTCTGCAGTTGGAAGAGATCCCCGAGGGCTGGAGCCGCGAGGATTGGAACCACGAGGGCTGGAGCCCCGGGTGATGGAGGCAAGGGGCCTGGAGCCAAGGGGCATGGAGCCACGGGTCCTGGAGCCACGAGTGCTTGAAGCCAGGGCCATGGAGGCCAGGGTCATGGAATCCCGAGGCCTGGAGCCTCGAGGGCCTGGTCCCAACCCACGTGGCCCAATGCCAGGTGGCATACAGGGTCCCGGACCACTTAATATGGGAGCCAGCGGTCCACAGGGGCCCCGCCAGGTACAGCTCTGTGTGACTGACTGTGCACTGATGGTGTCTTGTGGGCAGGGCTGGGTGAGAGGTATGCATGTGACTGTTGGAGGTGGAAGACCTCCTGCAGAGCAGCGTGTCCTGGAAGTAAAAAGACTGCTTTATGTTCCTGTGTCTTTGGCTGAGTCCAGGAACCCCTCAGTCCTTATCCTCTCTCTTGTACCCATAGGTTCCTAACATGGCAGGGGCTGGCATGCAAGGAGGGGGCATTCCTGGGGCAGGGGTCCAGGGAGCTGGTCAGCCCGGAGGCTTTAGTCCTGGACAGAGCCAGGTCACCCCCCAGGATCATGAGAAGGTGAGTGAAGGGGTGGGAAGGGGTTAGATAATGAGAGTAGTGCTTTCTGTGTGCCTTACCATGACAGAAGATAACCATGCTTCAGAGAACTTGTTTTCTTTCCTGTTGCATTTAGAGCAGGAGGTTATTCTACCCTGCTCTGCTCAGAGCTTGGGCAGCTCCATGGTCCTGCTGCAGAGGAAACTTAATCCATCCAGCACCTCTTTCTTGGCTGTGGTAACCCATGGCTATGCTGGCTGAGAGCAATTCTGACTCTCCCTTCTCTCCTCAGGCGGCCCTGATCATGCAGGTTCTGCAGCTGACAGCAGACCAGATCGCCATGCTGCCCCCAGAGCAACGGCAAAGCATCCTTATTCTAAAGGAGCAAATCCAGAAATCCACGGGGGCACCCTGACAGGTGATGTCCTTAAGCCTATACCTGCTCCCCTGCGGTGAATCAGAGTGCTGTTCAGTGCAGGGTGGCCCTGCTAATGCTCACTTCCCTCCCCTTCTCACAGGCCTGGCAGGTGTGTGATGGGCAGAGAAGGTGCTCCATGGCAGCCATTTCCTGTTGTTTGAGTTGATGTTGCGTTTAGGGAGAGGTTCCTCCTTGCCACCCGAGGTTTTCCCTCCCAGTTCATTCCTTTTTCTGTGTGTATATTTTATGATGTTTGAAATAAAGTGGGAGGAGGGTTTGAGTAAAGCCGTGTCTCAGATTGCCTTGTATGGTCCCTCATAGACAGGAGGACTGCTGGGAACAGCCTCGCCTATCTCTGTCCTGGGCTGAACCTCTCAGGTTCTTCACCATTTTCCCAGCAATACAGGGGCAGGAGCAACTGCTGGGATTTCTTGTTTACTAGGAATCCATTAGAAAGCACCTTGGGATGGTGAGCTGAGCAGGGGCAGCACATGGAAGGAGGCAGTTACATGCAGGAAGCTAAAATTGTCATCTGAGGAGACAGATGGGCTATCAGGCTTGGGCAGCAAGTGTTGGGGCTAAGGACGCTCCGGGGGACCATTAAGCATCATGGGTACTCTTAGCACCTTTCAGCTGGAATGTGCTGGCTACCAAACAGGGTGAGCTGCCCATGGAAGGTGTCTGGCTGGTAACAGCAGCCTGTGGGCCAGGAAACAGTGGGTGCCCCATTGTGCAGGTCAGTCCGGCTGTGCCCTCCTCTAGGGCATGACAGGGAGCTCAGCTTTCTATCCCTGTTGACAAGAGCAGAAGGGCTCTGTATCCAATTGCTGTATCGCTTACCACACCTGCCTGCCCTGGGAGGGTGTTTTTCTCCTCCTTTGTGCATATGCTTGAGCAGAATTAGTTATCTTTGCACTTGCCTGTGTGCTGGTTTGTGCCTGGTGGTTGGTGCAGACATGGCTCTTTGGTGCTTGTGAGCGTCTGTAGAGAGAGAAGGCTGGCGGACAGCCATCTCCACCACCCTACACTTCTCCCCCGAGGGTTTATTGCCTTTTTATTGCAGCCCAGTAACGGGGGGCAAACAGCGGGCTTCCTTCACACTTGTACAGATTGAGACACCACCCATGGCTTTTATTGCAAGGAAAAACAAGTTTAATTTACTATTTTATGGAGAGGGACACTTAAATCTGGAGGGGTGTGTTTGGCCCTTAGTGCCCTGGTGTCACGTCTGACCCCACCATCTTGCCCAGCCTGCTGGGCTCCCCTTGCCTCCTGCTGGTCTGCACCTGTGTGCTGCTCCGGTCCATCCCAATGCATGTCTCATGGGGGGCTGTGCTGAGAGCTGGGCTCATTTCCCCTCACAGGGACCCTTTGTAGGGTTAAGGAGGCAGCAGTCTGTGAACCCAGAGTTTCTTCTTATGAAGGATGATTTCGCTGTCTTGCCTGGTTCTCATGCAAAGCTTTTCAGCTGATGCTCATTCCAGGCAGAGTTGCTTCAAAAAGGGAAGTGAGAGCAGCAGGCTGGTTATTCTCTGCTGCCCGTGGTCCCATCCTGGCTCCCGCTTAAAAGTTCTCCTTGTTGAAGTAGAATTTGACCTTTCTGGGGTCCAAGCTGGAGTGCTGGTGACAAGATCTCTGCAAGACCTTTGCCAGTGCCTCCGGACCACACAGGAACACACCAACCACCGACCTGCATGCAGCGAGGGGCTGTGGGTGTTGGGGACCAGGCGATGCCTCCTGGTATCGACACCCCAAAGCCCCCATATCTCACCTGGGGTGGGCTGTGGCCACCGTTGAGAATTCAATGTCCCACCTGGGCCTCCCAAATATGGTTTTTTGCCTCAGGCCCGTCACTGCGTCTGTGACTGTGTCAAAGTTGAGTGCTGCATTGTTGGCCTGGGCAGAGCAGAGAGAATGAGTACCACAGCCACCACCAGCCCCCTGCAGCCATGCCCACCCACAGCCAACTCACAATGCTGGTGTCCCAGCCGGTGAGGAAGAGCCGGTAGGTGAGGAAGTCTGCCTTGCCAGACTCAGCCATCTTTTGCTCCAGTGAGGCAAGCAGGTCATTGAACCAGGCGAAGGCACCCGTGTCTCGGCAGAGCCAGTAGAAGTAGATCTGGGATGCAGTAGCATGGGGAAGAAGTGTTACTTGAGATGGAGCAAGAGAAGGATGTGATATCAAGCATGAGGAAGCCAAGTGCTTCTGAACATGGAGAAACCCATGGTGTGGGGTCAGCTGGTCCCACGGGGCTCTCAGTACCTTCTTGGTCTTGAGAGTCTGGTCATTCTGCTGGAACCTATACCAGATGGACTTCAGGATAGAGGCAAAGGGGGTAACGCCGATGCCTGCTCCCACCAGCATGGCCACCTCGTACAGGAACACATCTTCACTGGCTGTGCCAAAGGGGCCGTCCACTTCGATCCTGGCCAAGGGAGGGCCTGGGTAAGAAGCATGGCCTCAACCCCTGGGGGGCTCCATTGGTGTTCTCTCCAGGCTACCTGGGAATTTCCAGCTTCTGCTGCTGGAAGGTGTCAATGATGCGCTCCGTCCAGTCCCCAGCCGCCCGGATGTGGATGGAGAAGAAGTCCTCCTCAGGTGCTGAGGTGAGGGTGAAGGGGTGCCACTCCAGCAGGGACACAGCGGGGCAGTTGACAAAGATGTACTGTCCCACTTCCATGCGGAAGCCCTTCTTCTGCATCTGCAGCTCCAGCACTTTAGCGGGGTGCATGACCACCTGTGAGGCCGGCAGCAGGGTTCAGTGCCCCACATGGCCCTGCTGCCTGTGTGGCAGCAGCCCCTGCCCTCCTCCATGCAGCCACTGCACCACCTACCTTGGTGACGACCACCTTCTGGTGCGCGCGCCAGATGCGCAGGATCCTCTCAAAGATGTAGAGGATGATGGGAGCCAGAACCCACTTCCAGGACTGTGGGGTGGAGGGGAGCAAGGGGTTGGAGCCTCCCAGGCCATCTGCTCCTCCTAACGGAGTGTGCTAGGGCTTGGGGTTTCTGCAGCCCCACTCCCATCCCTACCTCTGCGGGGATGCTACCGAACTCGGGCTCCTTGCAGCACTCCTGCCTACATTCCTTGGGTTTGTGCACCAGGAACTCAGCACAGCGCTGTGGGTGCACCTCCTTCATGCTCTCCTCCGTCTGCCCACGCACCAACCCGCTGCAGGGAGGCAGTGTAAGGATGGGGCCCCCTCCCACTGAGGACTGCATCCAGGTCATCCTGGAGCAGATGTGGCCACCACAGTGGCTGTTTGTCACCATTGCCCCTTGTTCTGCTGCTCTGGGAGCCTGCAGGAAAAGCCTTACGCGACACCGTGGATGACGAGGCCAATGAAGTAGATGATGAAGAGGTGGTGTGTGTACCAAAAGACCTCAAAGTAGTTCCTGCGGATGAACTCAGTGGAAGATGTGACCATGAGGATGAGCGCCAGAGTGATGATGACCCCGGTCAGCCCTGGGATGGTGGTGAAGGCCACGTACTCGACGGTCTGCAGAGGTGGCAGGAGGATGGGGTCAGGGTAGGCACAGGGCAAGGGGTTGGCAGCAGTGGACCCACGCTCACCGTCTGGTTGGAATGGATGGGGTTCAGCCACTTGTTGCTGTCCTGCAGGTGCATCTTGGAAAGGACAGCAGACAGGCTGCCATCGTTGGCTTGCTGGCTGTAGTTGTAGCGCTCCAGGTTGAAGAGATGGGCAATGGTATGCACAGCTGTGCAGGGGAACAGGCGGTCACCCGCTGTCACCCCACAGGGCTCGGGGGGGGACAGAGGGTGAGCAGCAGAGTGCTACCTGTGAACAGGGCCAGCGCATAGGCCACCAACTTGTGGAAGGTGAGGTTGTGGTCAAGCTGCTTGCGCAGCGTCCTCCTGCAGCACTGCAAAGAGAGGTGGCAGGGTTGGGATGGGGATGGAAGCAGGGATGGGGACAGACATTCTGTGGGACTGCCCATGGGCACTCACCGAGCAGCTCCCGCGCAAGAAGGAGAGCAGATTGCGGCAGACGGGCAGCAGGATCAGCATGCTGTTGAAGTTGAGGCACTTGGCCGATGCCCGGGCCCATGCCAAGGCAGACTGGGGAGATGGAGACAGGGATGGGTGATTATTGCTGTGTCAGGGACAAGGTGCAGCTGCCTGCAGGCTGAGTGCCCCAGGATGGGGTGGGGCAAGCAACACTGAGCGGGGATCAAGCAATCTGGTCTGGGGCTGTGGGATGGGTATTGGTATGGAGCGATGCTGGGATGGGAACAGAGATCAAGGAAGGGATTAGGATGGAGCAGAAGTGAACTGGAAGAGGACAGGACAAGGAAGGCCTCTGGGGTGCTGCAGCCGCTGCCTTGCCGCAGCCCAGCCAGGAGAGCTCCAGGGCAGGCAGGGTGCTGCTGGGAGCACCTTACCCCGAGGATGGCCCTTGTGTAGAAGTACTGCTCGTCCCGGTCGAAGAACAGAAAGTAGTATGTGAAGAGGAAGATGTTGATGCCCAGCCAGGCCGCCTGCAGGGGAACCAAGGACTGTGAGGAACTCCAGCTCCAGGACCTCTCACCCTGCAGCACATGGCTGCAGGCACGGATAGAGGGCATCAGCGCAGTGCATCCCATTCCACTCCCTTACTCCTGAGGCATCACGGGTGAGATGGGACACGGGAAGAAGGGTGGGAAGGAGTGTTGCAAAATAACTGTCCCATCACTGCCATCCTTCTGCATGCACAAGGAATGAGGAAAGGAAGATAAAGGAAATATCTGTCGCTGAGAAAGGGAAGGGCCTGGGGCAGATACTGAGCCGGAAAGGTCTAGGAGGAGGAAATGCTGCAGGGATGCAGCTGTCAGTCCTCACCATGCTGCCAATCCTGCAGCACAGCCGTGCTTCCCTGCACTGCTCTGCGCTGCATGGGAGCTGCATTTTTTGCAGAGCTCCCAAAACCACTCTGCCCTGAGTTCTATTTTTCTTTAACAATTTAAAATATGCAAATATCCCAATTTCCTGCACCTGTCCCCATCTCCCCCGTTTCCCAGACGTTTCAGCCTGCTGCTATTGCAGCAGTGCTGTGGGTGCTGCAGCTCCTCCAGCACCGAGCAGCTCCATGAGAGGAGAAAACCCAAGTGGGAGCCTCCCTGCCCACAGTAGAGCGGAGCAGCGGCAGTTTCAAGTTTTGCACTCTCCATCCATTGGTTTTGGATGCCGCAGAGAGGGATGCACTGCTTCTCTACCTCACTGTGAGCAGTTGGGGATTTTGGACATTTGGGTTGTGAGGGGGAAGAGGCATACAAGGAAGAGGCATACAAATAACCCCTGAGCACTGGGGGCCACCTTTCCTTTCAGCCTAGGAGTCTTTACATGAGATCCACAGCCACCACTCGGCACTGTGCCCATCACTCACACAGAGGAGTTCTTTGTTCCTCCATGGATGACAGAGCCAGGACAGCTCCCAGTTTCCCCCCAGCCCCTCCAGCCCCCCAGCAGCCTGAGCCCCGTGCACTCACAAGGACGGTGGCCGAGAACCAGTGGTTGACCAGCCAGTTGCCCATATTGCGATGTCTCCGTCCACCCGCAGCAAATGCAGCCCGCTGCCGCCCGCCCGCGTTTTATGGAGGCAGCAGCCCCAGGAGCGGCCCCGGGCCTGGGAACGGCGCTGCAGGGATTTTCCCCCACGGTGTCTTGGAGGAAATGCCGCACGGTTTCAAAGGCTCCTTCCAGGAACGCCGGCTGAGCCCGGAGCCGCGGCCCTGATGAGGTACCGGGGAGCCTTGTGAGGGGTCACACGGGGTCTCACGTGGAGCTGGCACAGCAGAGAGAGGGACGTGGGGGCACGGCCCTGCTTCTCCCCTCCCCTGTAGCATTTGGGGACGGAGCGTGCTTTTTTAAGGCAGGAACTTCCTGCTGGCAGGGGATTGAAGAGGACTCTGCTTGGCAAACACGACCCTCCCTGGCCTCTCCTGGTGACTTTTCACGAGAGGAATTGCAGAAGATGGGAGACATCCCAGAGCACAGCAGTGCCACTGTGCTGGTGCCAGGAGCCAGCCAGGGATCATCATGCCAGTGCAGCGTGTTTCAGTTGTGCACCCAGTGATGCTGAGCACCCTCAGCAGTGACAGCCCTATAAATTGCTGCTGGGGGGTCACACTGCAGCAGAATCGTGAGCACTGCGATGTCCAGCACCGCAGCACCCACACCTCATGCCAGCACGGCAGTTGGCACCTGGTGGCCAAAGGAACAGGTTGGGCAGGATCACGCTGTGTCACAACTGGGGTCACTGCCTGCTGACAGCCAGAGCTGTGCTGGTGGAGCAGCAGGAAGAGACCCACAGCCTCCCTGCCCCTTATCGGCTCCATCGCAGGACAAGTGCAAGCCTGCAGCAGCTGGGAGAGATTGGGCTGTGCTGCTGAGCCTGCACTGCAGCCCCCAGCTCAGGGACATAGTTTGGTTCCCTGCCCAGGTGCAGTACGAGTGAAGTTTACGTGGGCAGCGTGCACGCGTGCTGTTTGGCCCCATCCTGGCAGTCCCCACCCACGTGAGTCACTGCTGCCTGCCAGCACCCAGATGCAGAGCCACAGCAAAGTTTCTTTACTGCTCAAAACAGACCCAGAGCAGCATCCCTGGGGTCACAGCAGCGTGGGGACAAAGCTTCCAATTGCTGTGTGCCCCATTGGGGTCTGCACACCCCATAGGTCCCCTGTGTGTGTGTTCCGGGTAATTGGCATGCTCTGTATCCTGACACCATGGGGCTCAGTGCAGGGCACCAGCACCTGCAGCCACTACAGCACCATGGAGCCCTCAGCATGGCTCATGCCATCACAGCTCCTTGTCCATACTCTCAGGCTGTGCTTCAGACGATGCTGTGCCTCACACCAGGTTCATGTGGTGCCTCCAGGAGCTCTGCACCGTCCAGGGACCGCCGGCAGCAGACACAGTGGAGGAAATCAGCAACGTTGTGTCGGAAGAGCTGGCGGCACGGATGCAGGTACTGGAAGAAGAGGAGCATGAAATAGATGGCCAGGCAGTAGCCGAGCAGCAGCTGCACCACCAGCAGCAATGTACAGATGTTCTCATAGACATCAGTCTTAAAGAAGTACCAGAGAACGACCAGCGCCGTGTTCTCCAGCAGCCGGGCCACGTAGTACACAGCCAAGCGGCCCCAGTTCTGTGACTTGTCAATGAGGTCCCGGTCGGCCAACTTGAGCTGCACAGCCGACCAGCAGAACATGTTGATGCTGGCGTAGAGCAGGGTGAAGGCAAACAGCACCACCACCGTGCCCACCCGGCTGAAGTTCTTCTCGATGTTGTCGGGCAGCCGCGTGCCACTGCGCCAGAACTGCACCCAGGGCTGGAAGAAGACCACCAGCAGGTTGGCCAAGGCAATGGGGATGATCCAGTGCTTGAAGACGGTGCTGAAGAGCACCAGGACAGCCACACGAGTGGAGATCTCCAGGCTGCGCCACAGCACGATGCAGAGGAAGGCCAGCGGGCGCAGCTGCACCTTGTAGTCATCGTACTTGACCTGGATGGCCAGGACATTGCAGACAAGTGCCCCGTAGGTGACTGACACCAGGCAGATGCCCATGAGGATGGCTGTGGGAGGAGAGGTCAGCAGGTCAGATAATGCTGGCAGCAGCACGGGGATTTCCTCACTCTGCTAATCAATATCTTCCTCTTTTCCCAGCTGGGTTTGTACCTGGGTGTGAAGCAGCAAGAAATGCTGCCCCTGTGCGTAGGAACAGTGTTTATGTGGGCAGGGCATCACGTGGTTACATGGCTCCATGGAGCAAGCAAGCACCTGGGAGCTGGGAGCATCTCAGTCCCAGACAGCTCCTCCCAACCTTCTGCAGCTTTGCAGTGGGCTGGAAAGCATTGGCAAAGCAAACCAGGGGATGGGCAGGTGCCTAAATTCTATGGGCTGTACTCTAAGTTCAGGGAAGGCAAGGGGTGGCAGGGCCGGATGGGGCGTATCTGTAGAGTCCCATCTGGATACCACACCACTGCGTGCAGTTGAGGACATTCTCCCATACCCTCAAGATACCACCATGCCCTGATGTTCCACCAAACCCCCGAGGTTCCACCACATCCCTGAGATGCCACCATGCCCCGCACATCCACGGCAGAGCTTTTGTGCCCAGCACACAGCCCATCCCTTACCTCGTGCAATGGGGACATACTTCTCCAAGATGCTGATGTAGAGCTGCAGGGTGAGCTGCGGGGTGGAGCCCAGGAAGGCCTGGATGACGGCCATGCGTTTGAAGGCATTGCGGTGGGTGGCCAGGCGGCGCACCGAGTGGCCCACCTCCTGCTCCAGCTCCACTTCATAGCCCTTGCGCAGCCGCCGCTTGCGCGTGATGGTGACGTAGGGCTCCTCTTCCTGCCCCGACCAGCAGTACACCACCAGGGCCTCCACACACCTGTGGGCACATGGCCACTGTCACCCCAGTGCGTCCCCATCCACTCCAGAGCTTGGGTCCAGCACGGGGCCAGCAGCAAGGGTGGTGCAGGGTAGCTGGTGTAAGAGCACTAGCTCCATTGGCAGCTAAAGGAAGGGCGTAAGCACCCCAGGCTCTGTTTTCCCACTGTTGAGCACCCCACAACAGCATGAGAAATGTTCTGCTGTTGTGTTTGATCTCAAAAACCTTCCACACTTCCTCCTCAGTTGGAGCAGCAGGAAGCAGAGAGTGGGGTGGAAGCCGATGTCTGATGGAGCAGATAACATGGCTTCCGGAGCGCGTCCCCTCAGCACCCTGCAGCTCCAGAGAGGGCGGCCTCCTCCACTGCCTCCTGCTGCCTCCTGATACCACTCAGCACAGCAGCTTTCATCCAGCCCCTCCATTCCCACCAGCTTCTCCGGCCCTGCTGGCCTCGCTGTCTCACCAGCAGTGCACATGGACCAGGCACAGCCATGGTTCCCTGTGGGCTGGGCTGGCTCAAGGGCCAGCGGGAGGTAATTGTCTGTGAGCGCTGATGGGGAAAACAGCCACTGCTCTGCTTCAAACCCAAATGGAATGAGGTTTGGGAACTGATTCTTTTGCCAGATCAGTGCTCACGGCCTATTCCAAGCTAATGGGAAAATGATTTCACCACAGCACCTGGCTCCAAAAGCAATCGATGCACACAGTGCCCCACCAGCCTTCCCCAGCAGGCTGAGCTCGCTCTGCAGCCCCAGAGCTGGCACAGCATCCCCCAGCAGCTCAGCATGACCCTTGCAAGCACCAAACCCTATCCCAGCAGCTGCTGGTGTCAGTGCTCAGTGCAATGAGCCAGCCACTGTAAACCAGCATGATCCGATGGGGCAATGCTGCAGTGCTGGTGCTCCCCAGCATAGCTGCCCTCTGGGCCAGGCGCTGGGTGAGCTGTGGGACCGGCATGACATTCCCCCCATGCACAGCAATGACAGCAGCCAGGGAGGCACGGCAGCATTCCCCAGGAGTGAGAACAGCACCTCTTCGGCTTGTGCAACATCCACCTTCGTCCTCCTGTCCCCACTGGGGTGTGGCAGCCCCCAGTCCCTCTCCTCTGCACCCATAGCCCAACATCCCTAGACCCCAGACCCCTTCAGCCACTCCAGCATAGATCTGCATCTCAGCCCCCAACAATGCAACCACAGCGAGAGGAATGCTGACTCCACAAAGCAGCCGTGTGAAGAGCACATTTGGCAGCAGGCACGCAACAGGCTGAGAGAGCCCGGGGGGGTCCTGCGGGCAGCGGGGAGGGGAGCAGGACGCGCAGGAGCTGCGCTGCGGAAAGTGCTGCTGACAGCGGTGCGCGGCGCTCCTGCCCTGCCCTGCCGGGGAGCCGAACCGAACCGAGCCGTGCCGTGCAGAGCCGTGCAGTGCAGAGCTGTGCCAGGGTCCCCGCCGCGCTCACCTGATGATGGGCCCCAGCTGCAGCAAGTGCATGAGCAGGACGAGCGGTCGGTCGCGGCTGAGGTCGCGATGCACGAAGATGAGGGTGAGCTGCACCAGGACGGAGGGGCAGAGCACGAAGAAGATGGTGAGCGCCAGCCAGAAGCGGTCGTCGGAGTGGCTGTAGGAGAAGCAGAGGACGGCGGCCGCCGCGCTCTCTCCGCAGAACAGCGCCGTCGAGAAGACGATGCCGAGCGGCAGCTTCGCCCTCGACGGGGCGGCGGCGGGCGGCTGCCCCTCTCCCGGGCCGTCCATCGCGGCCCCGGCGCCGCTCAGCCCCGCCGCGCCGCCATCCTGAGCTGCAGGGGAGGGAGAGGAGCGCTGCGGGAGGGGAGCGGGGCGCTGCGGAGCGCCGAACCCCGCACGGCGCCCCGACGGGCGGCAGCTGCCTCCGCGCCGTGCCCCGATCACCGTGGTGGGGGGGGCGGGCCGAGCCGGCTGCGCTCCCGGGCCCGCCCCGGCGGGGAGTGGGAGGGACGCTCTCGGGTAGCAGACCCTCCTCCTGGGGACCCCCCGTTACGCTGCCGCTGCCGGGTACACCTCTAAGAATCCCCTCCCCCCCCGCAGCCCCATCCTCACCAGCCCTCTGTGTGCTCTGAGTATCTTGGCTCTCTCCCGACCAGACCCACCCCCTCCACCAAGGCCCCGGGATGCAGCAGCACGGGGGGTCCCCAAAGACAGAGGTGCCACGAAGGAGGGCAGCCCTGCCTTACATCCAGGGGCACCCCATGGGTGGCAGGGAGGGACCGTACGTGGTTGGATGGAGGAGATGTGGCTCCTGCAGGCATCCGAGTGGGAGGCGGTGAAGTCCACAGATAGCAGGGTGCTACTCAGAGGGATGAGGCTGGCTGGGTTACCTGACATTGGTGGTCATGGAGCAGCCAATGCTGGGCTGGCACTCTGCCTGCCCCCCGCATACCACGGTGTGAGCAGACAGCCACTGGTGCTCACAAGCTGGCTCCCCAGCCATGCACTGCCTGCCAGATTACTCAATCTGGGCACACAGCGGCTGGCTGGGACAGACATGATGAGGCACAGAGCGCTTGAGGTCGGCCAGTTCTCCCAACTTCACCAGACAGACCAGGAAGCCTCTGGTAGCTTGTAAAAGGCACTGGGTATCCATCCCTCAGCAGGGATGTCCGTCACCTGCCCTAATCCTAACCCCCTTCATAGCACACCCCAAAACGTGAAACCCCACAGACCCAAGTGAGATCTGCCCCCATTCTACAGAGCCAAAAGCACTGCCAGGGTTATTGGGTGACAAATTATTGGGTGATGGTGCAGCGCGGCGCTGCCAACTGCGCCCACACCTCAGTGTTTGCAGCAGGAGCGATGTGCAATTGAAATCATTTATGCAACCTCCATTTATCCAAATTAAAAGCATCCCCCAGGAGCCTGGCAGGTCACCAAGCCCTTGGCTGAGCAATGCCTGGGCCCAGAGTCATCATATTTTTAATTTTGTCTTCCCTGTTTCGTGATGAAATATTTAAGAGCGATTGTTTAAGAAGACAAGAATGCCAATCCTCTGTCTGTAAACCGGCACCATCAGAGGAACGGATGGACAAAGCCTCACGGCGCTCCCCACACCAATCATTATCCCATTCTCCGTCCCATGTGTGGGGAGGAAGAGGGGTGTTTGCTGCTGCACACCGTGAGTCACCCTGTGAGCTGCACTACCTGTGGAGCTCAGCACTGTAAACAGACCATAAAAGTGATGCGTGTCTGCAGAGGGCAACCTGCTGCTGCCTCTCCCAGTGCCTGCATTAATGCCTCTGCAACCCTGGGACTGGGCCACTGGGGTGCTGCAGCCACACCCTGCCCTTGCCCACTGCAACTGCCTCTCCCAACACGCAGGGGTGCCTGAGGCAATGCCCCCAAGTCCTAGAAAATGTCACTTTCCTCTTTCCAGTGCCTTCTCCAGGAGAACAACCTGACCTCATTATGTTCTTAATCCTGGATTTCATTATTTTATTAATCCCACAACGCGCTGTGAACGCAGGGATGGAGCAACAGTGCCCACCCGCCGTGCGAAATGTGGGGTTGTGCAGCTGCTCCCTGCACGTGGCTGAGGGAGGGCACTTGTGCAGCAGCCAGGCTATAGATAGCGGTGGGAGCAGCCTCCTGCAGGGCTCCAGCACTGAAAATAGGCACAGCTCCCTGACACATGCCTGCCCAGCAGCTCTGCTCCTCTAAAAGGAGAGCAGGAAGAAGCTGGGGCTGTCAGGGAGCAGCGTGCAGGAACCCTTAAAGAGCCCACCCAGATGCAGGAGAGCTGCTCACACACTCCCAGTGTGGTTTCTCTCCTCTCTGCCATCGCACTAGGACCCTGAGACACACTGCTTCCCAAGCTGGGACACGCCAAGCTGCTGGATTCCCAAATATAGTCCTGAGCACAGCAGCAGGGCAGCTGCTCCCCACCACTGCCGTTCCGGATCAGCAACCTCAGTAGTGCTCCTCCTTTTGTGCAAAGGAACAAACCTCCATCCCGTGCTGCACAGAGCATCGGGTACGTGGCTCCCCGCAGCCCCAAGTGCTGAATGCAGCTCCCCAGCATCTCCCAGCCATGTGCTGCAAGAAGGAGCAGCGGCCTGTGTGTGCTCCCTGCTCTCACAGAGCCAGCAGCTGCTGGGGCTTGGAGGAGTTTCGGAGCCAGGAACTTTTTACTTAGTTTGGAAATAGCTTTGCAAATGGCTTGCTTTCCCATCTGAAACTGTTTGGATTCTGCAGTGCGTTCTCAATAATTCAACTGTATTTTTTTTTCTGCCCCGTCAATCTGTGAATAGTTTCTGGTTGAGGAAACATTTTTTTTCCATTTGCTTTGCAGTTTCATGCAACCACTTTTGCTGCTTTTTTTCCTCCCACAGCCTCACTCTCATGCAGGGAGAAAACTGGGGTCTGCCCCAGGTCTGACTGCAGCCCAGGGCACTGCATAGCTGAGCAGGCACGGACCAGAGGGAGCATTGCTTCCACAAGAAAGTGAAAGCTGCCTGCTTTGGATACTTGCACATTTTGAAAGCACGGCCCCCCATCTGCAGTCCCACCAGGTGATGCTGAAACAGAAAACCAGGACTAAGAGCTCCTTCTAATTGAGCGATTCCCCCGGTCCCAGCAGGCACATGGTGCATGGCAGGCAGGAGGGATTCTCCTCCTCTGTGTTCAACTCCTTTCCCTCATGTCCACAGTGGGACAGGAGCAGCACGGGGCACTGCCCACCTACATGCTCAGCTTTGTGCGTGGTGCAGGAGTGAGCTGTCAGCTTCCCCTTGTAGAAAGAACAAGAAAACTGAGCAGAGCAGCCAGTGTTCAGCTGGCATTCGCCATGCCCCAGCCTGTTTGGGGCAGACTTTTGTTTGTGCAGTGCAGAAAGGTGCTTATCTCCCTGCTCTGAAAGCAGCCTCCCCACTTCCGCGTTCACCGTGGGGCTCAGCTGGGCCATTTGGGGGGGGCAGAGAGTGCTCCACAAAAATGGCCTCCCTGCCCAAAATAGCCACCGGCTCACCACGCTCTGTTAGCAAACGTCGCACGGTCCTGGCTCACCGACAACAGGTTTCCTGGCGTGGGCAGCAGTTACCTGCAGCTGCAGCCGGGCTGTGGGGCACTGGGGTGTAATTAGCTGCTGGGATTTGCAAGCCCGTGTGATCGGGTTTAGTGTCAGCCAGCAGAGCTGTGCCGGGATTTAAAGGGACGATGCAGGCCTTTGCATGTGGGCCTGCTGCTGTAAGAGGGTTGCTGCCGTCGGCCGATGGGCTTGCAGCATAGCGTGTCTCTCCTCTGAGCTGCATGGCACTGCCCTGCACGGTGGATGTGCCTTCAGGGCAGGCTCTGAGGAGATGTGGTCCCTAGCAGAGCAGGACAGCTTGCAGGCATTGCTGCTGGCACCCTGGGGTCCTGGCACTTATTTCCTTATTACAGCCACCCTAGCTCTGTGCTCTTATCAGCGCTGCCCAGTGCTTTCCCTGCAAGCTGTCACTTGCTGCGTGTTGGCATCCCCAGCACTGTCACTGCTGCTCCCCCATGCTGCACCTCCCCAGGGTCCCAGCATTGTCCCAATGTGCCCGCAGTCACTCGGTGCATACTCACAGGATCCATGAAGCCGTGACAGCACAGCCCGTGTTCCCTCCACACTTCTCCGTGGTCTCTGTGGTGTCACCTCCTTCCCTTGCCTGCTGCTCTCCAATGGGCAGAAATAGCCCCACGCCACGTGCTGCCCTCCAGGCAGTGATCCCAGAGGCTGCACAGCCCCAGCACCCCGTGCACAGCTTGCCCTCGGGGACCCCGCTGTCACCACTGTCACTGCTCTCAGCGAGGTGCCTGGCCCAGCACAGTGCCGGCTCTGGGTCCAGTAACAGCCCCAGTGAGGAACATCTCCCGTTCTCCACCAAGATAAATTCTGCCTTAGAGTTTCTCACCTGGCAACAGTCACCAAGGAAACTCGGACGGCTCCCAAGGGTCCCCTGTTGGCACTGCTGAGGGGTGTCCCTGTGCTGTAGGACGTGCAGGGAGATGGGACACGTGTGTCCCTGGGCCGCCTGCTGCGGGCACCCTGCCAGCCCTGTAACCTGAGCCACTGCCACAGCACGTCCCAGGTGGAGCAGAACGCCCATTGCTCAGGGCTCGGGCCTCTCCCAGCACCCACAGGTTTCACTGGGCTCTGGGGTGCGTTTTTGAGGTTTTCCTGGAGGTGTGCACATCAGGAGGTAGGTGGCCTCCAAGCTGCCTTGGGTCCATGGGGGTTGCCACCTCTGGTGTGTCCATGTGATATGGGCACAGCTCCTTCTGCAAAGGGCTTCCACATGTCATGCTTTTGCAGGGGCCTCTGATACTGGAGGGACCACAGACGCAGTCACAGCACCCCCAGGCTCAGGGACAGCAGGGGACAGGGGCATAGCCACTGCTGGCCCTGGGAAGTGGATCAGGGCTGCACCCATGCATGTAGGAGGGGGTGGTGAACACACATGCGAGGCAGTGAGGGTGTGGATGTCAGGAGGCAGGCTGCTTGCTGGCAGCCAGAGATGAGATTCTAATGCTCATTTAATCGATGTCTGGGACAGCCCTGGGTGCCACCTGCTCACCTCAGCCAGGCTGGGGTGCTGCCAGAGAGATGGAGCATGCAGGCACACCACCGCCCTGAATACTGCTGTTGGCTGTGCCTGGCCACAGTGTGACTACAGAAACTTCCTCAGTCAATCATTAACCCTGTGAGCTCTCTGCCCACATGGGCCATTGACCTGGGGCCAGGCACTGCCCCACCCTCATGCCTCAGTGTGTTGTGCCTCACTGCAGGGTTTTCTGGGGAAAGCCATGCTAGTGCCCCAGTGTGTGAGTGCTATGGGATGCTTGGCATCACCTCTGCATTCCCAGCTCGCTTTGGTATGGCTGCTGTTTGGCTGCTGGTGCTGAGAAATGAAGCATGGATCCTGCAGCCTATACTTCCTGGCATGGCTTTTGGCAGATCTCATGTCCTCATCCCTCTGGATTCCATGTTCTGCACTGAGCTGCTATGGCTCACACCCCCCTGTACAGCCTCTCTTTGCCTGCAGAGAACCAGCCATGGCTGTGGGAAGCAACAGAAAACACGAGAGCCAGATAAGCACTGCGGGGCTGCAGATCAAGGAGCTGAAGTTTGGTTCTTTTCCTCCCCACTGTCACTATTGCCCAGCCCTGTGCCATCCTCACCCAGACTCCATTCTGCTTCAGGTGACAAACTCACATGGAGGTGCACAGGCATCCACGGGGCCAGGAGCAGCCATGGGTGCGCAGAGCAGCCTGGTACGTCCAGCAGAACACTGAGTGCTTCTCACAGCCCCCCCACCTCCCCGCTCCCAAACAAGCACTGCCCAGCTGTGCGTTGATTCTGCTCTGCAAGCCTCCAAACTATTATGGAAGAGCAGCATGCAGCAGCCTGGGCTGACCTGTGTGGATTAGGGAGGCTGCAGGGAATAAACCACGTAAATCCAGATTAGGTTTAAGCAGGTGCTACGCAAAGGAGATGCAAGAGGAGCGAGTTTGTGGTGTGAGTGGAGGGACAGAGCGCGGGTTTGCAGGTGCCCACAGCACAGCGCAGAGCATGTTCCACCTCTTCTCACACTGCTGGACCTGGCTGCAGGCCGTGCAGGAGCCCGTCAGGTAAATCCATGCTGCTTTCAGCTGCGGGACACTGGGGTGCTGCACCGGGGCTCCCCAAGTTGCAGGGCAAGGGACGCAGTGCCATGGAACTGGGTTTTATGCCCTTGGGAGGAGCACTGCAGGTGGGTGATGTTTGCAATGTGGGGGTTTATGGTTCCATCCCAGCAGTGTCGATGTGGTGCTGCAATGCTGGAGGTGGAGCTCACTGCCCACGCAGGCTCTTGCTTGTGTTTAAGGTGCAAATGACTCATGTTGTTGACATGTAAACCAAAGAGGAAATGCTCAGATGGAGCGTGTTACTGCAGACCAAACATGACTGTTGAGGAACAGGAAAAATCTCTTGGGTTTGGGCAAAAGCTGATAGAATGTCCCTTCTATCTGTGGTTTAGCTACAACGCGGAAAAACGCTAAGAAAAATCATTAACTGCTCCCATATAAGTAACAATGTTTTTGCCCTGTGCATACTATTGCCCAGCCCCATATGACAGGAAACAGTTGCTGTTAAAGAGCCACGATGCTCCAGGTGCTGGTGCTGGTAGCTCTGCCCTCACCCTCTCCCCAGGCACCATCCTGCCACTCTCCTGGCTAAAGTAAAGCCGTTCCCTTGCCCAGAGGCCCCAGAGCTGGCAGCCAGCATTATGGCTGAGGACAGTGGCTCAGATGGAGCCCTGATGCTCAGTACTTGGTGTTGCCCCCAGGAAAGTGACCCTGCTCGTCGTGGGGCTGGACAACTCAGGGAAGAGCTCCATCATCACGGACATCATGAGAGGTGGGGAGGATGGCCTTCTGTGGGGAGGGTCCCACGGGGAGCGCGGTGCTTGCTTGTGCCTAGTGTGCCTGTGGGCTGCAGCAGGCGATGCAATGCCCCACGAATCCCTCTCGGCTGGGCTGTGCCAGTCATGTTCCACAAAATAAAGAGATCAGCTTGCTGCTCTGGGGAACAGAGTGTTGGCAGTGCCTTGGGATCCCACAAGTCAGTGTGGGGACGTGGCCAGGGAGTGGGATGCATGCATGGAAGGGGTGCTCTCACACCACAGCCCTCTCCCCACACACAGCTCTGGCCAGCGAGGTGCTGCCTGCAGCACAGCCCGGCCAGACCCGTCTGCGGGTGAACAGATTTGAGGTGACGCTGGTGGAGCTGCCTGGAGCTCAGCGCTGCCGCAGTGCCTGGCGCAGCCACTATGGTGCAGCCAACGGGCTGCTCTTCGTGTTGGACTCCAGTGACCTGGCACGGATGGAGGAGGCCCGCAAGGCTCTGAGCCGCATCCTGAGTCACCCCGATGTCTCCGGGAAGCCCCTCTTGCTGTAAGGCTGTAGTGTTTGGGGTCATGGGGAGGAATGGGAACCCCGGCAGTGATGGGGAGCCACACAGTGAGATGGCTCCAGGACTGACCACCTCTCCCTATGCCTCAGCCTGGCCAACAAGCAGGACGTGGCGGCTGCCCTGCTGCCCTGTGAGCTGATCGAACGCCTGGCGCTGCAGCGGCTCGTCAATGAGAACCACTCGCCCTGCCGCATCGTGAGTGCAGGGCTGCCCCAAGCCCACATCCCCTCCACGTGCATCCAAGGGTTGTGGGGGGCTGACCGAACCCCTCCACCTCCAGGAGCCATGTGCAGCCATGGGCCCAGCCCGCAGCACGCTGCAAGGACTGCGCTGGCTCCTGCGTGCTGCTGCTGAGCACTCCCTGCAGCTCCCCACTGCCTGCTCCCCATCACCTGACCCTGGACCTGGAGCAGCCCATGGCCGCCCACATGCACACAGGTGGGTGTGCAGCTCCATGGGTGCCATTCTCCTATCTGCATGGAGTTCATCCTAACCCCAGCTGTGCTCTCACCCCATCAGGGACCCCCTGGCCCAAAGGGAAGATGAATCTTCCAGTGCAGAGAAGATAAAGGAGCCACAGCCCAGCCGCCACCTCCTCTCCCCCAGTCTCCAGGTGAGATTCCCCCAGCCACAGCAGGGAGCAGAAGACAGAGGAGCTCGCATCACTTCTCCTCCTCTTTCCCCTGTTCAGAAGGTGAGCACAAATGGCCCTGGGAAGAGGAAGAAGAAGGTGAAGGTGAGGAAGAAGGGCACAGGGCAGCTGAACCCAGCTGGAGAACCAGAGGGAGGAGCAGCAGGAGGGGCTGATGGCCGAGCCAGCACTGCTGGGGGGCTGCTGGCCCCCAATAGGGTTGGGCAGGAGGAACCTGTGCCTGCTGGGATGGCTGCCCCCCGCTCAGGTGAGAGGAGGCTATGGGAGCTGCTGGCACTACCTACTCAGGCATCTCAGGATCCCCAAAGCCACCCCAAGAGGGACTGTGGGGATCCTTACATGTAGTGCTGTGCTGGACCAGCAGCCCCTGGGATGTTCCTTAGCTCTGCTTGCAGGCCAGCTGGGGCACAGAGCAGGTGGCATCAGTCTGGATGGGTGTGAGGAGAGACATGTCCGATGCACAGAGGAGATGGAGGGCTGCAGACCTGCCAGCAGCAGTCCTCCCAGCTGGGTTGGTGACACCGGCACCCTTGCCCAAAGGTGATGCCTGAAATGTTGTATTTCTCTATCCAGCGCAGGGCATGAAAAAGAAAAAGAAGAAAAAAATCAAGAATAAAATCAAATCACAGGAGCCTGTCATGGAGCAGCAGCAGGAGGAGGTCTCAAGTACCTTTGGTTGGTATTTCCCAGGATTGACTTTGCCCAAAAGCATCAAGGGGTCCCATTCTGATGGCAGCAGGTTTTGAGCTGCTTGGGAGCACTTGGGCATATAGCGCCTGGTGAGGGGACACAGGTGCAGGCAGGGCAAAATGCTGGGGAGGTGGGTGCTGTGGTTGCTGCCTTCGGGTAGGATGCAGCCAGGGAGCCCATGTGCACAGGGCCAGGCTGCCAGGCTCAGTCTCTGGTCAGTGCCTGACTCCCTTCCTCCCCCAGACCTGTACCGCCGGGCGATGCTGGCTCTGAAGATGCGACAGGAGCAGAGGAAGCAGCCATCTGCCATTGCCCCCTGAGCAGGACAGGCGAGTCCTAGGGCATGCATGGTCTTGCAGCTAGTGCAGGGCTCCCGGGCTGTTTGGCCAGGGCTGGCAGTCCTGGGGCAGGAACAGCAGCACTGTTGTCCTCTGCGTGACTTGAAAATCAGGATCTGCAGGAGCAAGCCAGAAGTCCCGTTGTAAAAAGCCTCTTTGGCAGCCGGGTTGCAAACAGTCTGAAAAGGAAACAGACGGCACTTTCTGACCCTGTGTTAATATTCTGTGTAAGACTTGCCCTGAACCCTGCTGAGTCTGTAGAAGAGAGAGGAAGCTCGGAGCAAATATCCCATGGGAAAAGCCCATTTCTTGAACTGACATAAACCCTGGTGAAGCTGTGTTCATGGGTCAAGGGCTAACTCGGCCACTCATCCAGCTCCTGCCTGCTGCCTGGACACACTGAGTTTCCAGCTGGTGAGGTCAGATGGGCAGAGCCATGCCCAGCTCCAGCCTGAGCCAGAGGAACAGAGCAGCATCTGCATCCCGACACGACCATCTGCATCTAATACAACCCATCCATAGCTACCAATTCCTGGGCAATGCCTGCCCTGCGCAGGGCAAGACAAACCACTAAACCCTCAGCTGGGCTAAAAAGGGGAAAAGAACAACTCTGCCTATTGCTGGCGTGCTGTGAAATTATTAGATTCGATTGGCAGTGCCTGTAGTGATGAATTGCAGCAGCTTAAGCACAGCCCGTGCTTGCAGTAAGCCTGTCCCTCTGCCCAGCCGGCCTGGGCACGAGACGAAGGCCGGGGTCAGGAGGGCTGGCAGCTCCCCCTGCTGCCCCGGGTGTGCAGGGAAGTAAAACAATAAATGCAGTACAACCCTCTTCTATTCTCTTTCTTCTTCTTCTTCTTCTTTTTTCTTCCTTTTTTCTTTTTTCTTTTTTTTTTCCTTCTCCCCCTTCTGCATGAAGATGTGCAGCTTTTTGAAAGAGAAAGAAATCCTCTACTGCTGCCATGTATACCAGAAGTAGGCCAGTGAAAAGAGGCCAAAGACAAAACCGGCCCAGCTGGTGTTACTGGGCAGCTACCTGAAACTTCCCACAGGAGGATGCAGGGTGCTGGCACAGGCTGCCCAGTGGCTGTGCCTCCAAGCTGATGCAGTGCAAGGAGCATTTGGACAATTGGTTGTAGTGTTTGAATTTTGGGTGCTCCTGTGTGGAGATGGGTAGTGACAGCTCGGATGCATCTCAGAACCAGTGTGTCAGTGGCTGCAGAGCAGCTAATCCCACAAACCAGCAGACAAATCTGACCTGTGCTAACTGAGGATATAATTTTTCTCTTCTTTAGAAGTTAAGCAGAAAGAGCTCTATGTTAAAAACGCTGTATCTCAGAATTCGATAATACTCAGAAACGAGATCCTGAAAGCCTATTTGACAACCCACCGACAGATTAAACCCAAATGTATTAGTTAATAGCTGCTTTGTGCCACCAAGCAATGGGCTGGATTGCTCCTGCAGCACGTGAGAAGCAGCTACTGTAACAGGAGTGCATAGTGAGGCATGCAGAGAGGTACTCAGAGCTTTTTCTGTCGTTCTCTTCCTCCTTTTTAAGTTACAGACCCTGACCAGCTGAATAAATGGCAAAGGGAGGGATCCTTTGGAAGGTGTATTCAATGGCACTGCCTGCTGAAAGGCAAAGGAACAGAGGCTGCCCTTGTCTGAGCTTTGCAACAATTGGTGGTGGTTTGTAATGCACCAAGAGCTGATGAGATGTTTCAGTGAGCACCCGTGGGGAAGGAAACATTGAGAGCTGATTTGTCCCATGGATGTGGATAGGACAGGAGGCCCTCCTATGGCGGGAGGATGTGTGAGAATCACTCCTGCTGTACATCTGCAATTGCATTTTATAAATACAAACTGAATTGTCTAGTTTTTCCCTGAAGCGAGTCCTTCCAGGGGCTGTACAAAGAGAACAGCATACAAAGTGGTGGTCTCAGCATCACTTCAATCTTTCACATTCAGAGACCCTCCTTAATCCCAAGTGACAGAAGAATGAACCAGAAGATGATCTGTGAGGAAACCTCCCAGAGGCTCATTCTGGAGCCTGTTTTACTGTTGCAAAAACAATTAAGAGCAAGTGTGAATGATTGTAGCTAATGAGTTCTTTGCCAGGTGAATGTCAGGGATCCCATCTCACAGGCTGCCTGCAGGTTCTGCTTGTTCCCACCAGCACTCTTTTAATGCTCAGCACAAAACCAAGCTATGGCTTGTAGGGTGTGCATGGAGAGAAGACAAACACTGGGGTTTTCCTAGGGATGGAGGCTGGGAGCTGATGGATGGTGGAGACCCTGCCAACATAGCTGTCTTTTTCCCAAGCTGGGCTAAAGGTCAAAAATAAGAATATAACTTAGGAAAGAAAATCCTACTCTAGGGCAGCTGTGCTGATAAAGACTTGACCAGCCCCTGTATGATGGCCTGTCTGTTTTTGATTGGATTAGTAATTCCTTGGGATATGGCTACACGTGTCACAGACACAGGTAAGGTGTGTGGCTTTTCCTCAAGCTGTCCTGTGGAAGAAAGTGATTGCTATGTGTACGCAGCTAAGTACACACAAATAAAGTGAATGGATGTGAAATGTCAGAATGGATGTTAGGGTGGATAAAAGCGCAGAGTAGGAGTGGTTTAGGGCTTGAGATGTTGTATGTAAAGTAAACTTCCTTTCACTTGGAGTTCTTGCTCTCTGACTGTCATGTGGGCTGGGTGCCAGCCTGCTGTTCTGACTGCTTCTGGATTCAGTCATAAAAAGGAACTGTGGGGAAAGGCTACTTTTTTGCCCCTCCCAGGGAAGCCAGCCTACCAGACCTATTTCCACGAGCTCATTCAGTATATTGAGCTGAGGCAGGCTGGGGCAGCCCATCAACCCCCTCCGTGGTTCTCAATGGCTGTGGGCGGCGCTGTGCCCGGCACTGAATGACGAGCAGCCTTACGCAGTGCTGTGTGAGAGCTCCTGCCGTGGTTGTAGATCTTCTGTTGTGCTGCATTAAAAATGAGAGTTAGCTTGTTCGCTGTCATGTACTCTGCAGCATCGTTAGGGAAGAAAACAGATTTAATTAGATGAGAGTAACTCCCTGAGCTTTCCCCTGGTTGTTATGAAAGAGGCTATTAAAACTTTGCAGGGAAAGGGAAAGTAATGAGGGCTGGAAATCTAGAAAACATGGAAACTTTCTCCTTTTAAGTTAAATGAGCCTTGTTGGAGACACTACTGCTGGCGGGGGGAGGAAGGAAGCAATCAAATTTATTTGATGGGTGTATTTGTTTTGGAGCATGAAGGAGTGTGCAAGAGCCTGAGATGCACAGGTTTGTTACACCACGTACCAAATATACTCCATGGTGCGTCCTCTAATAAAAAGCTTTTATTGCTTCTTTCAGAAAAAGGAAATTCTGTTAACTAAAACTAGTAGTCTTTCTGCTTCATAAATAATCACTGTAAGTCACTGAGTATTTGAAAATGTTATTTCAGTCTAAGAGGAAAGTGTCTCTTGAGGAATCCTATCAATGTATTAATTAGAAGGGCTTTATCTGTAGAATACTGCTGGATATGAGATCAAGAGCTAATTAACCAAAATTCTTCATTTCAGACTTCTGCAGCAATCAGGGCTCATGTTTTGTCTGTGGAAGAACTTATACCTTATTAAACTGCATTTATATTTCAGCACAGATGGGCTTAGCAAGCTGCTAGCATGGATCCTGATCTACAGCTGATGATGTAGGTAATTCTTGCTGCCCAACCTGTTCTCTAAGACTTTCCAATCCATCTTCTGTATGCAGCACAGCTGAGGTTTTGGGGCTGATTTTTGCAGGCCTTCAATGTTTTGATTTGTTTACTCCGCCAGGCTTCATAGTTTGCAAGGTACAACTGCTGCCCAGGCTTGCAGCTACCAGCATCTGAACTCTGTGTTCTGGCAGGGAAAGCTGCTGGTGGAGTGATGAACTGATTTGAAATGGACTTTGAGAGAAGGGGGGGAGGGGGGAAGGCATGTGTAAATCTCCTTGCTCAACTGACACTTCAGGATGCTGCTGCTGAATCAACTCAGCACAGTGCAGACTGAACTGGCTGCTTCCTTCCCTTTTTCCAGGAAGGTTGCAGAAAGCCCAGCCCATGGCAGCTCTGCTCCCCAAAGCATTCCCTACCACTCTCCAGTTGAACTTTTCATGATGTCTTTTCCAGATGGGAGAGGACCTCAATAGGTCACAGGGCAGAAAGAATGGCTTTGAGAGCTTGTAGGTGCTCTGGTGGTTGGCAGTGAGTACTTCTGGCTCATGCAAGCAGTTTCCCAAGCTGCAAGTCGACCACAGGGCTGTGCCCTGTAGGTAAACGAGCACCTAACTGGGTCTGCATGGGTTTGTTAACCTGCAGGCCATCCCAGCCTTAAAGGTAGATTTGCAGCAGCACCCATTAGGAAGTCGGATGGGCTTTGCAGAGAAGCTGAGCAGTACTTCTCCACCGGCTCCACGGGTATAAAATCCATAACGCAGCCCGAACGTGTAAGGAGCTCATGGCACCTTTTCCTAAGGCAGCTCATCCCCCGCATGGCCGCGCGGTGGCAGAAGAAGCAAAGAACGTTGCAAAGAAACTGGGAGCAGCAAGGAGGGCTGGCGGCGCCTCGGAGAGTGCGAGGGCAGCTTGCTTAAACGGGAATCCCTTCGGACAGGGGCTGCCGGCACAGGCGCTGGATCCCGCAGCCTCTTTCACGGCGTGGGAAAGCCTAGCGGGATGTTCTGCTTCCACTGTACGGAGGTGGCCGTGCTGAGACAGCAGTTTTGCTGCTCCTGTCACCGGTCTCGAAGGCTGGTGGCTCCCTGGGTGTCGCTGATCTGCTCAGCACCCGCTGCAGTGACACCGGAGTGCAACAACCACTGCTTTCTGTTGGCACAGCCAGGCCTGGAGCTCGCTGTGTGATTCTGCTCCGTGGGGTGCTGGGCGTGCTGAGCAGGAGGGAAGTTCAGAGCTGGTTAGGTGTTACATTAAGATGTTCAACAATACCCATTCATTTTTTAGTGTTTTTTTTTTTTTTTTTTTTTTTTTTTTTTAATCTGCCTCGCATTGTTTTCTTGTTTCCTTTGTTGTGGTTGTGCTTTTGTGTGGAAGGCAACACCTGGGATAATGGAAAGGTGCCTCCAGGAGTTTTAAAAAAAAAACAAAAACAAAACAACAACAAAAAACTCTTGTAAAAACTCCCCAAGTTTGCGCTTAGCAAAAACGGGGCTGGATTTTAGCTCGAATCAAACGAGCACGGTGGTGGTGTTGCTTTTAAGTGAAACAGCGGCGTGTTTTCTCGCTGTGCGGACGCTCAGAGCGCTGCTCTCGGTGCAACGTGCCGGGCTGCGCTCCGCATGCGGGAAAACGCTTCGGCCTGGGGGCAGCACGGCGCCCGCGCTGCGCACCGCTGGGGCCGGGCGGCACGCCTGCTGGCGGGGCTCCCGCGAGGACCGCCGCGAACCGGCGTCAGGACCGCACGAGGGCAGGCCGGGGGTTCCGTCCCCAGGCCGCGCCGCGGGCCCCGCACTACAGCTCCCAGGCTGCCCCGGGCGGGCCCCGCCTCTCGGGCGGTGCTGGACAAGGCGCGGAGCGGGGGCGCGGGGGAAGTGCCCGCCAGCCGAGCCGAGCGGCCCGCAGCGCCGGGAGCCCTGCCCGGAGAGCCGGCCGGCCGGCGGGGCCCCGCGGCGGGCATGGTGCGCGGCCGGCGGGACAGCCTGGGGGCCGCGGCGAGGCGGGCGATGCGGTGGTGAGGGCGGCGGGGCCGGGCGCTGCCGCGATGCTCCGCCGCAGCCTGAGCCGCCTGGTGAGTGCGGGGCCGGGGCCGGGCGGGGGGAGCTCGGCGCCTCCGCGTGTTTCGGTCGCGCTTCCCGAGGGGCTCCGAGCGCCGTGCTGCTGGGCGGCCCTCGTCATCCTGGAGCCTCCCCTCAGGGCGCTGCTGGCGCTGCGGGGCTCCACAAGGCGCTGGCTTTGCAGCGAGAGCAGGAACCTTTTCTTCCTTAGGATTTTTTTTTTTTTAATAAATACCCCCGCCTCCCCAATTATAATAATTACAAAGTTGATACAGAGGGATTTCCCCGGCGCAGGACGCACACACCAGCCCCGTGCAGCCAGCAGCAGGATGGAGGTAGCCAGCAGCTGTCAGCACGCTCAGCACTGCTCTTCCCAGTGCTTCTTGTCCCCACGCAACACCTTAAAAACCTGCCCAGTGCCACATATGCTACTTTGGAGATTTCCCTGTGACCTCATGGCTTGGACTGGACTCTGTAATTACTCACTTTTTCCTGTTCCGCAGCAAGCGTAAAACCAGGGCTTTTGCATCATTTCAGAAACCTCTGTGTGCTCAGCAGTGTTGCTGATTGCGCAGCAGAGCTGCTGGGGTTCAAATGGCAGCTGCGTGTTATGGGCGCACTGTGTGCCCTTGTTGGCCCCATGGCGATGTACTCTGCCTTCAGCTGCTGCAAGGGCTGAAAAATGCTGAAGAATGATTTTTGTTGCTGTGTTAACTTCTGTTTTTGAGCAAGCTGTTCATGCCGGGCTTTCAGCATAAGGAACTCTCCTCGTTTTTAAGTTGCACTAGGAGTGAAGATGGTTAATTCTACTGTTTTTGTGCTTTTAGGTTGTGTTTCTGTTGGAGCCTTTGGGTTGGCCTTGCAGCAAATGCAGCAACAGTGACTCTGGTTTGATGGCCCCAGGCACAAATGTAACAGATGTAATTGCAGTACCCCCAGTTACTGAGGCTCAGCCCTGCCTGGTGCTGCATGCTTCCTACCACTCCCTTGTTGGAGGCTTGCAACGCACATCAGGAGGTAGTTTGAGTGCAGAGTGCTGGAGTTCTGTTAAAAACTGATTTTAGTTGGCTGCTTTGTGTAAGCAAGTGCTGGGGAACTGCTGAGACAATTGTGGGGTCCATGAGTGTCGTTCATGGTTGGCTCCATTGTCCTCATGCTAAAAGGAATAGGAGCCTTCTGTTATGCCCTTGGGACAGCAGTTGCTGAGTGCTTCTCCCAGTAATATGTGCTCCCTGCTTGCTATCAGGCCACTACAGGTTGCCCAAAACTCAGGCTGGGGCAGATAGCAGCTCCTGCTGTTGCACATCACCGTTGGGCAGCTCGGAGACATGGGGCTGCCCTCAGCCCTATGGCCGTATGGGCAGCACAGGGCTTTGAGGTGCTTGTGGTGTGGCACTGCAGGAAGCTCACTGCAGTGGTTGAAGGCTGGAGACTGTTTTGCGCTGAGGTCCCCGCAAGGCTGCTCTGACAAATGGTGCTGCTGCTTCACCGCCTGGCCTCTGCCAGAGGCTCAGAAATGCCGGACTGTTTTCAGGTGTATTTCACAAGACACAGGCTTGTGCTCCCTGCAGGAACAAATGGGCTCTGAGCTTCAGTTTACACCAGTGAGATCCCTGCTGCTGAAATGAGCATTGTGCCAGGATCGCTGTGGGGAAGCAGGATAGGATTGCCACGGTTAATCCACTTTAAGGAGACACTGTCAACTTGAAATATAACTTCAATTCTCTTATGGAAGTGGATTTTGGTATTGGGGTTTTATTTTTAGTCTCACTCTGTTTGCATCCCTTTTGTGGAAAGGCTGGAGCAGCATTCAGAATGCGTGTGGTGAGTGGCTGGGGTCTGCACTCCATGAGCAGCTGCAGCTCCCTCCAGTGTGTCTGGAGGTTGGCAGGGCAGGTCCTCATGTAGTGGATTGGAGATAATGTGCTTTTTTTCCTTACTTACCTTTCTGGGTTCTTTGGAAGTGTGCACGCAGTCATTCCTTGGGGCCAAGGCTGCAATACAGTGACTGTGGCTGGCAGGCAGGGATCTGGATTGTAGCTGCTAGCAGCTCTGCCAGTACAGCGGGGTGAGCACAGGTTCAGGCTTTGTAAGGACCAATGAACTGACAAAGAGAAGTTACTCATGGCCCTGCTGTTTTTTGGGCTTTTTCCTGTTTGCTTTTATTTAAAACTGCATCCCTTGTGTGGTGATGTTAGTAAGCACTGGGTGCTGGTGAGCTGTTTGATCTCACAGCATTGACTTGAAGTTGGGGAACGTGACATCTCTTCAGTGGGTTTGCATTGCTTCTGCCTTGGCCAAATCAGTTCTGTGATGCCAGTATCTTCCTGCAGGTCTGCCTTGGTGATGATGTCTCATCTGCTTCCTCACCTTCACTGCTGTCAGTGCCACGTGGATGCCAATAGCCCACAGGTCAGGAAGGCAGCCTGTCCTCTGCATGTCCCTTGTGCAATGCCTTGGGCTCAGCTGCTTGGTGTCTTTCTGGACAGTAACCAGAGCAGACTAGGTTGGCACTGTGCAGTCTTTGTAGCAGGCTGTTACTTGCAATTTGTGTGCTTCGTGCTGCTTTACTGTGGAGGTTTTCCATCTGGGGCTCATTTTATTTAATTACAAAACTGTATGCATACTGCCACAAAGTGGGGTGATAAAGGACATGCGTGCAGGAGCTGGTTCCTGTGCTACCTGTGGCTGCCAGCTAGTGACCCAAGCAGTCTGGCAGTGCCTCACCGCCTGCTTGCACATCCTCCAGAGTGAGCTTTGCTTGCTTCTTGTGTTAAGCCTGTGACAGGGGAGGGCTTTTTCCCTTGTGCAAACAATTGCAAATTTACTTTCATAATCCCTTCCTGGAGCACCCAGATGCTGGGTCCTGTCTCTGCAGATGGAAGTTCCCATGCATACAAGCAGTGCTTGGCAAGAAGTGCAAGTTATGCTTTGGACAAGGTGGTTGTACAATGTCCCTTTGTATTTTGAAAGTCATCTTACGTGATTTGCCCCAAAACCCCATGCAGAGGAACACTGGTGTTGCAAGGCTTGGGTGGGGGCTGCCTGGGTGCATTCCTGCTGTGCTGCCCTGCCCTACCAACTTAGTGCTTTGATGCTCCCTCCACCTTCCCCAGGGCATAAATCTCTGTGATCGGAGCATTTTGACCTCTTGTGTCACCTAAGCCTTAACTGCCTGGCCCCCCTGTCCTCTGGGAAGGAGCAAAGGCAGAAGAAAGGCCTGGGAAAAGGCATGTGTTGACTCAAGAGGTGTGTGCCGGAGGTTGATCAGATCCTGCCTGAGAAGCCTGGGGCTCCTGCAGCAGGGAGAAGGGTCAGGCAGTGGGTGCTGCTCACTGCCCTCCTGGGGCCGGTCTAATCTGATACTCCACAGGAAAGCTATCGTCCACAGAGATGCACTCCAATGGCAGAAAGAAAAATCAAATTCCCCATGCAATGTGGTGGACCACAAGGAGGTGAGAACGGAAGGGATCACAACAGGAAGATGCCCATGCCTGGCTGGGCAGAGTGCAGGAGCAAGAACTGCACGAGTGTGTGGTGGAGGGTGCTCGTTTACACCCATCGCTAGTTTTTGCAGCAAATGTGTAATACTGTCTATTTTGGGATATGGAACACATCTGTTTTCTGTCATGCTTGCTTTTAAATTTTTTTTTTAAACAGTGTGAAGCAAACATTAATGCGTGATTGCAGTTCCTATTCTCATAAGGGGCATAGGTGGGAGGAGGAAATCTCAAGAACCGCTTTTTCCCCAGTCCAGCCACGCTAGCACCTTGAGAGCAAGGCTGCGTGTCAAATACCTTGTGCCAGACTGGCAGCTCGAGCATTTTGCTCTCCTTAACGTGACAAAAAAGCCACGGGCAGCGCAGGCTGGGTTTGGGCATGCAGCGCTGCGGGGTGTCCATGACTCCGGGTGGCTGTTCTGCTCGGCTGAATCTCATGCTTTGAGAGAGCATGGATTTAAATGAAGCAGCTTTAACTTCTCATGAATAAAAGCATTGTTGCTGGAATTTGTTTTGTACAGTGTCCTTAGCGTGATAACGCTGTTTGCCACACTGAGACCGAGTTCTGCTGATAGCAGCTGCAGTGCAGACCACGAATTACCGCAGAGGAACAGGATCAGCAAGCTAGAAATAAGGAACGAGAGCAGTGGGGAAGGTGCAGAGCAGGCTGTTGCACGCAGGACAGTGTGGTGCTGGGCTGTTGCCTGTTTGTTTTTCCATGGTGCAGACCCCCCGTTTGGTCACGGAGGGATTCTCCTTTTTCCTGACTGCTGGTCATAACACTTTTTGCTGTTGTATCTGCTGTTCTGTAATACAAGGTGGGACTTTGTCCTGTAAGGAAGGGTGCTAGGAATGTGCTTGTGAGTACCTGGGGAGCAGCCCTGAGTGGCCTTGGGCTTTGCCAAGTGCATGAGCTGCAAGCAGCCTCCTCACCCCAAGAGCACTGTGGGTTTTGGTCTGTGCCTGCCAGCTCCAACGTGCTCCTTTCTTTGAACAGCTGAGTCTCTTATCAAAGCCCATACCCTGAGAAAAAGTTTCTCAAAGTTCTGTAACCGTTCTTCTTTAAAGTTGCAGAACATTCTCCTTCCCGGAGCTTTTTTTCCCAGAAATAGCTCAACCGTTTGGCTAAAAATAAATAAAATCAAACAAAAACCCAGCCTCAGACAAGTGAAATGTTCATGTGTGCAGCTCAAGTTTGGAGAGGTTTGAAACTGCTGCAAGGAGGAGCTGGAAAGCACCGGTCAGAGTTAAAGCAGTGCTGCCAATGAAACCCTCTGTGTTTAGAAGCTTCCTCTGAGAATTAGATATGTGCAGGGGTTGCATTTTATTCTTTCTGACTCCAGTTGTATTTTGCTGAGAATAATGATGATCTGCTGTGTTGTACGGGCAAAGTTTAGAGTCTGGCTTGTTGCTGAATTGCAACTGCAAGCATGGCAATTTGCTTTTAACAGTGGAAACTATAAAAGCAAACAGGCCCTCTATTAATAGCAGGGTTTTTGGACTTGTCTTTAATGTAATCCTGTTGCCCTTGATTTATGTGCTTTCTTTTTGGTTAAAGCTGCTGCTTTCTGTCTGTAGCTGTTCATATCCTCTCTGCTGGGGAGGTTTTTGAAATTGTATTGAGGAAAAGCAAAGGTTGCTGAGAACATAATCAGAGTCTGAACCAGAAGAAACCTTCACTGTGAAGCACTTGCTGAGGCTCATGGCTGAGAGCAGCCTGCCTTTGGCAGCTTATTCCTCAGTGCTGATGGACTGCATGCAGTTGAAGACTTTTTCCTTTTACAGAGAGGAGGAAGTGCTTGGGGCGTGTTGTCTAGGAAGGGTGGATTTGTGTCTTCCAAGAAACTTGGAATTGGGGTGATGGAGTGTGTTCTTAAGCAACTTATTTTTCCCAGGAGATGTCATTTCAGGGGATTTTCCAAGGGAGTTTCTGTATTTTAATTGTGTTTAGGAGTGGATGCCAATGCTGGGAGCTCTGCCTGCGCCCATCTGCATGCTTGGCTGTTCCTTTCATGGCCTTCTGCTGGAAAGTGCCCACCAGAGTCCCCCACTGAGCCCTGCTCCAGGGCAGTCAGTAGTTGCCAGCGTGCTGGTACAGCTTGAGCTTGCAAAATACCTTACGTGAGACCTTGCACTGAAAGCTGCTTCTCCTGGTTCTTCATGTCAGAAGAATTCTGTGATAGCTGAGGTCCACTGCTGGGAAGCACAGGCTGGGTTTTGCCTGGCAGGTTTTGCCAGTGCTGTGGCTCTGAGAGCACACAAGTTTTGGACTTTACCTGCGTATTCTCTGCCCAGCCAGTGGACTTGGATATCTGGGCTTTGATCTCTGCAAATCATTAAATATCACCACAGGGAAGCTGGGAGAACTGCAACCTCTGCTCCTCTTATCTCTGATGAGCAGACTGTCTTCTTTGTGCCCCTGTTTTAATAGCCAAGAGGTTGCAGAGCTGTGGGCACCCCAGCCTTGAGGTTCTGTGCCCACTGGGGCTGAGGGTTATTGCTGGGGCCTTTCACACCATTGCACTTGTGTCAGCAGTGAGTGCTGTGTGAGCCGTGCATTGGTGGGATGGGGCTGCTTAGCTGCATCTTAACCATGAGGACCCCGTGCCCATCAGGAGGTGTGTCCTGCTGATGGGAAGGTGGGCAGTAAGTTCACAGTTGGTAATTGTAAGCCACTTCTGGTAGTAATGATATCATAAAACCAGTTAGGTTGGAAAAGACGTATGAGATCACCAGGTCTAACCATCACCTAATGCTGCAGTCTGCAACCAAATCCCTGGGTACCACCCTCACCCACCTCCATGAAGAAATTCTTCCTGATAGCCAGTCTGTACCTCCCCATGCAACTTGAGGCTATTTCCTTGTATTCTATCAGTTGTCACATCAGGAAAATGATTAAACATCTTAGCAGGTCCTTACAGAGGGCACCAAAGCCTCCCTTCGTGCTGAGCAGCCCCAGTTCTCTCAACTGTTCCTTGTAACTCTTGTTTTCCAGTCTCATCACCAGCTTTGTTGCTCTTCTCTAAATCCTTCAGCAACAAAAAATCCTTTTTATAGCAAGAGGCCCAAACTAAGCACAGTGCTTGAGGTTGGGCCTCACTGGGGAGCACTGTCTGTGACCAGCTGCTCTAATGCCATTCGCAGTGATATTCCATGCTATCCTCTCTGTTGCAGTTTTGCTTTCCTGTGGTTCTTTGCACGCTATCTGAAGGATGGCATTACTAACACAGTGCAGCCCAGCTGCTCTCCTTAACCACTGCACTGCAGTTTGCTGAATTATTTTGTCTTTTCTGGCGTCTGACCACCAGGTTATTCACTGTCATGTAATCAATGAATACTGGATCTAGTTAGCTAGTACTTTGCTTTTTGCAGTACGTAAGGCTCCAGGATGTGTGTGAATCTGTTACACAGATTGCAGTCACCCATTTGTGGTTACAAAGTGATGCTTTCCCTGCAGTGCTGGTCTGCCTGGCCCTGGTGCAGTGCCTGAGTTTCTCTGTGCTGCATGAGGCTGATGCCTGCTGCAGTTACGGGAAGTTGCTTTGCTTTTGTTTTGTTTTGCTTTTTTGGTTTGCACAGGACAGTTTATCTTGACCCACAGCACCTTTCTTCCTGCTGAGTGGTGGGAAGATGTGGTGAAAGTGTTCCTCAGCCTGTCCATGTGGTGAAAGCCTTGGATGCTGCCTTTAGTCCTTTGCTTCCCGTGGAGTCCAGTGGGATGCAGCTGTTTGGGAACAGCTTTTGTAACAACAGGAAGGGGATAAAAAGACATCACTTAAATAATTGCCTTGGTGTTTTCGTCCTTTGGGCACATGGTTGGGGTCGTGGCAGACAGGTCCTGTGGATTTCAGATCTTACCTTCAGGGCTGCCAACTCCGCCAGACTGTGGCCAGAATGTTGGCTGGAAATTTTGCTTGAAGATGCTTTGTCACAAATGGAGGGGAAAAACATCAATATGCATTTAAAATCTCCTTTCACTATCCTGGATGTGAAGTTGCTGCAGTAGCAATACATCTGCTTTCAAAATGTTCTGTACTCTCTTGCTTTGTTGTATCTTGTATTGCAGCAGTCATAGGCTGTAAAAGAAACTTGCCTTAACCAAGCACTCTATCGAGCAGAAAACACCTCATGATTGCAAATGTATGCATTTAAAAAAAATCTTTGTATGTTAAAATTTAGATGCGTTAAATACAGATATAGGTGCATTAAATATATATATGAAAATATGCATTTGCTTGTGGAGTTTCTTTTGTACATAGCCAAAATCAAGAAAGCTCAGTGCCAGTGTCTGGCACAAGGTGCCTCATGGTGGCAGGGAGCTGGTACGTGATGGAGCTGGTACGTGATGGAACTGGTACAGAGGCAGTGGTCCTGGGCCAGGCTTTTCCTCTTCTCCTTTCACTGCCACAGATGAAACCTGCAGTGAAGCCTCAGTTTGCATGCTGCCATGGAGCAGTCCTTTCTGAGAGGTTTAATCAGAGCTGATTTGGGATGAGCTCCTCGGATCAGTCCCCGTCTGCATGGGATGAGTGCTCTGCGTGTTTTGTTTGGATTTGTGTGGTTTTTGCCCCCTGCTTTCACCAGTGCTGTTGCTCACCACATTGTGCCGTGAGGCAGTGAAGGGGTAAGCTGGGGCTCTGCACAACAGCAGCTGCCACCTTCTTTGCCAGGCTTATGTATGGGTGCTTTCTGCTGAGGAAGCATGGATGCTGCAGAACCAATAGTATAACTGGTTTTTTAGCTCATTATGCAGTAACTGATGTGTGATTTGAAATAACTGTGGATGTCTTTTTTGGGCACCTGTTGTATATCATTGAGTACAGTCATTTCTTTTTTCCAGTCCTTTCTTTTTTCCAAAACTTTGGTCGTTTTTGAGGTACAATTTTAACTGAAGCTGATTTACTCTAAAAGCATGCCCACCCTTGACATTCAGCTGTAATTGATAGCTTTTGTAGTCAGAGACGTTTGTTCTGTTCTCCTTAATGGAAGGTTAATGCACTTATCTTTGCCATGGCTGTTTGTAAAGGGCTTTTTGGTTTTTTTTTTCGCTGCAGCTGAAGTCAAAGCTGAGCACCTGGGAGGCTCTCCTGGTGGGGCATTTGGGGAGCAAATCAGGCTCAGATTTTTATTTTGCTCACAACTTCAACAAGATTCCAGTTCTGCTTCTTCTGTAGCCTTGAATGAGCAGTGCTTTGTTGTAAGCTCAGCTGAAATTTGCAGGATTTTAGTGGAGGGCTCTTTGGTGTGACCCTCGTCTTGCTGTTGTAGGGCTGTATTGGGAGGAGTTGGTGATTTCCTGCTGTGTCTTAAAGAATCGGTGAGCAGTTGCCTTATCTGGCCTTATCTTCCTGTATTCTGTGTACCAGTTCTAAAATTCTGTGAGGCATTAGCAAAGTGGAAGACAGGCAGTGCTTGCTTAATAGATACAATTTGTTTGAAATATTGTAGGAGACACAGATCTGCATAACAGGAGCACTCTGTTTTTCTTGCACCGTACAGGATATGTAAAAGCTGACTAAGATGTGCAACAGGCAAGACAAGATGATTTAAAGCATTTCTTAGCTCTTGTGATCCAGGCTATTTTCAGCGGTAATAAAAATTAAGTGCTGCTAGCGTATGGTGAAGCCATGTACTGCTTGTTGCCTGAGTTTCAATTGGCTTAAGGGGGGGGGGGGGGGGGGGGGCGGGGGGGGGGGCGTGGGGTTTTGGAAAAAGGTATTGGGAATGGTGCGTTGGGGGGGGAG